CATCCCTAAAGAAAATCTGACTCATTTTCTATGAGGATTTTCCATTCTGTAAAAGCAGAGAAAATCGTATACTTCTGACCAGCTTGCTATATAGCTTGTTTTAAGTGACAACATGAGAATGAAATGTTAGCATAAATAACTTTGTTGAATAAGATTATGACAAAGTTCTTTTGACGGAAACATTGAATAAAAAGATGCAGTTTCCAAAGTGTAAGTTCAAATGAAAGGAAACACATGATTCATTGGAACATAATGGTACTATCAAAAACTGCTTCTGGATTGTATTCACTAATTAAGTTAAAACTAGCTTTGCAAATTGTTTTTAAAAAGTAGCAACAGCAACACTTACAAAGCACTAACTCCCAAATACGCACAAGTGTTTTCCCCCCGCCCCCTTTTCTCTAGGTGAACAATTTAAAAAAAACAATAGGTCTGCATACACTGGACATTGAATATTATAAAGAAATGCAATGTCTAGTGAGAGCACGAGACAAGGGAGCGATATGAATTGTGCATTACTAAACACTTCATGTATCAGGCTCTGGAACTGCAAAGTAGCATGCATCATCAACTAATCCGAATATTCTCATGACTACCATCTTTATGCTCCATTCCTTTCCATTTGCTTTATCTACACTATCTTAGCTTGGACTCTAAGCTTTTGAAGAGGGACAGTGTCTTTCTGTGAGTACATAACTTACACTCTGGTGACTGATTACTATGGAGTACATAGCAAGTAAAAAAACTCCTCAAGTAAAATCTCTGATGCTCAAAATATGATTGCCTGAGAACAATCACTTCAAAATACAATCTTAAAAAGTTAGGGATAGTTTAGTGAACATCTAAAGAAAAGCAGTGTTATGCAGTACTTCCCCACCACTTTTATTTTTTTTCAAGTTATGATATAAATACACTGTAAAGTCATTTTGAAAAAGAAAAACATACACCAAGTATTCAAAGACTTTTGCCACAATTTCTGAATTAAACAGCAGTGATAAAATCCCATACTCCGTCTACCTTCACATCTGCAAAATTCATACCTGCAAAATTATTTTATGATACCACATGCTGTAGAACCACTGTCACTGCTGAAGACGCACTGACCCTGTGACAGATGTATTTTGGGCATACAGAAAACAAGAGAATGAACAGTAATAAAATAAGGCAGAGCGAGAATAGATTTTTAACAAACTCCCTTTTATTGATTTGTTAAAGTAATAGTAAAATTGAAAAATTGATGTCTTAATTGTGCATAATCACTTTGGTAAAGGTAGTCAAGGAAAATGTAACCATTAGATTTTGCTTCAGTGTTTTCTGTGCTTCAGTATCATTTGTGTCTGCTTTGAAACGGATCAATTGTGTACACCAATGCGGGTAATTTTAATCAAATAAAAATAGTTTGTCTTTTTAAAATTCAGTCAAGTAGTGTAACAGATGCATTACTCTACACTGAGAGGAAGGAGACCAGTAGGTTTCTGCTGTTCTACCCACTGCAGATTCAGAAGCCCTAAGGAGAGAAAGGATTAGTGCACATTTTCTGTGACTAAAATTCTTTGTTTGCTTGTGTTCTTAATACGTTGTAATATGCATCCTGCCAACCCTCCTGTATCATGAGATCACAAACACTGAAACATGGGTTCTTAAACAGCGATAGAGGAATAGCAGCTGGACACCAAACTTTTCACTCAGAGGGTTCAGTGAGTAAACAGCAGCCACAGAAGTTTCTTTTTAGAAAAAAAAGAACAAAAGCAAAAAACACACACCCTTCTACACAGACACTTCAGCAAAAAACCCCATCAAAACAAATTAAAAGTTGTACGGTATTTTCCCCAAGTATTTTAAAGAAATTCAAGGATGAAACAGCTGAATTACTAACAGTAGTAACTGCTCATCTAAAATTGCTTTGGTGCCTCAGGACTGGAAAGCAGTAAATGTGATGCCGCCTTTTTTTTTTAAGGGAAGATTCATGGATCTGCAGACCCATAAGCATGATCCACTTATAGAGTGTAAATTAGTAAAAATAACGAAGTACAGAATTTGTGAACAGCAGGATAAATGCATCTACCTGGAGGGAGTCAACACAGCTTTTGTAAAGGTAAATCCTACCTTTCACACCTCCTGAAGTTTCTTTGAAGGTGGTCTACAAGAACATTCATGCAGATAATCTGTTTGATGTAGTCCAGGCTCCACTATTTTTCAAAATTAAGTGATAAGTTTTAAGTTGTAAGAGAATAAGCTCTCTTAACATATTGGTACAGTAATTATAGTTTCCAGGTCCCTCAATGTAAACTTTTAAGGAAACTGAGCAGCCATAGGGAAAAAAAGGGAAAGTCATTGCACTAACTGCCTTTTTTTTTTTAATGCAAGTAAGTAGTCAGTCCTAGATGAGAGGAAGATTTAAGCAAAAACTGACTATTTCAAAGAAATCTGCTCCAGCATCCATTCTGTTCAATGGACTCATAAATGACCTGGAAAAGGAAGTAAGCACTGAGAGATAAGAACAGTGGAAATACTACTAAAAGAAAAGGAGAGTTTAAAAAAAAAAAAAAAGGGAATTCTCTCCATCACTGCAGCTGCTGCACTGCATTTTACTATGCACACTCAGCATCCTTCCAGAACAAGAGCTATACATTGAGATTCAACTTGTTGAAGATGCTAGCCTTGATGGTATATTTCTTTATTAGAAAGCTGGGTCCAATATTGACAAGAACTTCAAGAGGGGCCTCATGTTCTGCAATAGTTGCTTGTCATCACAAGCTGATATCATAATATAATCCTCATTATTTATGTTACGGGCCATAAGTACAGCCTTTTAATTGCACCTCAGTAGCACACACCTGAAACAGTTGAGTATTTTCATCAAGCATTTGCTTCATAAATCTCCTCTTGACAGCCTTAGCTGCTCCACGAGTGCACGTTCAAATGACTTGAGAGAGAAGTAAGGATCTAAGAAAAATATGGGACCTCAGCTGACTGATTCACCATCCACTTTCTTCCATCAGTTCAGTAGCAAACAAATTGAAAAACCAATCATGATAGCAAAATAGAGCTTTTTTTAAAAAAGTCACTAGAAAAAACAATCAGAACAAAGGACATCATAAAGCTCTGGTAGCACACAACAAGCTTCTTCCATAGGGCAATGCACTGGGCACGAGGCAACGGGATACTTAATACCTACTTAACTTTCTGACTTACACAACTCACTGTATACAACAGCGTCCTGTATCAGCACAGCTATCCAGGCAGGCGCTGCGATGGCCCAGCGGCAGCGCTAGCAGGTGAGGCAAGAAGAACTGGCGCAACTTTCTGGGACAAACATGAGCTACGGAGAACAAGAAGCACCTGGAGGCTCGTCCCTTGGCAAGGAGCAAGCCAGGCCTGGGGCCCGCCCCGACGCCA